CTGAGCTCTCTCCATGGCCACAGAAGCCTTTGTCTTAGAGTCTTGAGAGCTACCACCTTTAAGCCTGGCCCTTCTCCTTGCTCCTTCTCTTCTCTACCCACTTCTTCTCTGCACCCAACAGATTTTACTTCCTTTTGTTTCTAGAATATAATGGGAGTGTTAGTCATTCTCCACTCCTTCCAGTTCCGCTCTTGGATGGAGGGGAGGACTCTGATCCTGTGGAAGAGTGGAGTAGAGGTGGCCTTCCTGGTCCTGCCAAAGGGTGACTGTCTAAAAGGCCAACAGGCATTTCTTAGTGCAGAATTTGACCCCCCACTAGCACATCCCCTGTAATTATTAGGCTACAATATTTTGTTTCCTTCTCATCCTTGAGTTATGATTTAGAGGGCCTCCTTCTGTTGCTTTGTTCTTCATCATAGTTGGAGGTGAAGGGAAGAATGCATCTTACCACACTGACATGAAGCTCCTGCAGCCCTGTGTTGACATACCTGCATGGAAGTCACTGCTTCCACAGGCATTGTTGACAAACAGGAAGAGGCTAAGGGATTAAAGAGTCACTGTGGACAAAATATATAATATTTGTCAATATCGTTCATAGGACCAGAAGCTCCAACAAAGAAGTCTGCAGGCCCAGTGATGAGGTATTAAAGAGCATTCACATTGAAATGATTTTAACCATAATGTAGGCATAGAAATGAAACTGTAGTGAAGGCAGCAGTACTTCAGGAATTTATTCCGTGAGAACAATTCCCCTAGTGTCTGAGCCAGTTTGGTGCCCTCTACAGCTCCTTTCCCACTCCTGGGCTTGGCCTGAGACATTCCAAAATATCCCCCATCCTTTACCTCATCTGTGCCCACTCTTGTCTTAGGGAAACTCCCAGCCTCTGCCTCTGGCTCTCTCACCCACTCTTCAGATCCAGTTCTTATTCTTCACCCTTTCCTTGGACTTGATGTTTCAGACTTGCCCTTGTTTCTGTCTTACTTGAGCCAGACACTCAGACACTGGTTCCCCCTGAGCCCTGAAACCTAAGACCAACCCTACTCACCACCCTCTACCACCACATCAACCCAAACTTTAGGAACGAACCCAAGCCAGAGCTTTGAGTTTCTCCCTCTCTAACTTTAACCCCCAAAACTCCATTTGTCTGGGAAGCCAGGGTTGGCAGCCAACATACTTAAAGTTTCATAAAAACAAATAGGAAATCTAGCAAGAAGCAATGTGGACTTGACTGGAATTTGAAAATTTCTTCTGAGCCATTAGAACTATAATACCTTACCATATACTCTTTATTTAATAGAATGCCTCTGCTATTGATCCATCTGTTTGTCTCTCTTTCCATTTCTCTGAGCTTTGGAATATTCAATCCAAGTACCTTTTCATTGGAAATCTGTACTTTTCACATTAAACAAGGAATTCTTCAGCCAAAATTGACAATAAATGCCATTCTCAAGTAAGACACTAGGTGGAGCATGTGAATTTAAAGGAAATTCAAGTTGGCAGTTACTAGTGACAACAACTCATGTAATGCTAGAAAACTGTAAAAAAATTAAACAAAATTTATTTTGATTAATGTCAACTAAAAACATACAAATATGAAACGCATAACACTTCTTATAAGCATATGTAAAGTCTAGGATAATTTTTTAAAAATTGGAGTAAATAATATTTTTCTCTTCAATAGACCCTCCAAACCTCATAGCCAAAGCAGAAAAATGAAGCAGGAAGCAGTTTCAGAAGAACACTAGTTGGGGAAGGCAGAGATGGCCTTCAGTGGCAGATATTGTTTTTTACTGGTTGAGAGAATGAAATGATCTTTTCCAGAGTGAAAATACCTTACATCTACATCAGCTTCCAGATTATCAGCTTCAATTTTGGTAGCAAATAAGTCTAGGGAATTTGATTGCCTTTAAGCATGGTAAGAGGTCATACATTGCTAATAACAGCAGGTAAAATCTTTTAGAAGTTGTTTGTTGTTTAGAAAATATTATAGGGAGACAATCTGCTGCTGGGTTCAGAAGATGACCACTTCCATGCTAGCAGTATTGCATTGTGGATGTTCACACTGAAAGTCATCACTTTCTACTAGAGTTTATTTCTTTGTGTTATTGTAAGTGAAGTTTTGTCAGTGCTTTCATTTTTAGTTGGGTGTAAAAATATCATCCAGCACGAAGCTTGACCTTCCTGTATGCAGTTCAGGCTGCCTTTAAGTCTAGGTCAGGAGTTACTGGAGGAAAAAAAAAATCCCTGGGAAACTGACCATTGATTCAGTGATATTTTGTTTTTTGTTTGTTTGTTTTTTTTTTTTAAGAAAATCAGCCCTGAGCTAACATCTGCTGCCAATCCTCCTCTTTTTGCTGAGGAAGACTGGCCCTGAGCTAATACCCTTGCCCATCTTCCTCTGCTTTATACATGGGATGCCTGCCACAGCATGGCTTACCAAGGGATGCCATGTCTGCACCCGGGATCCAAACCAGCGAACCCTGGGCCGCCGAAGCGGAACGTGCGCACTTAACTGCTGCACCACCAGGCCAGCCCTGATTCAGTGGTATTTTGGATTCTGGTTTCCCCAATCTGCCTGTTACCAGTTACTTCTCGGAGTCCCATGCATTCTCTCAGGGTGTTTAGTTGCACTCAGTGGGGAGACAGAGTGGAGAGTACTTACTCCATTTTGACAAGAACCAGATATGTGGATGGTTTTTTTAATTCCTGATTTTGTTGTCAGAAGATGTGTAGAATAAATTCTAGCTTAGCCTATTTCATACAATTGCAAAATAAGAATTTAGGAAAGAGATACACCAGTCGAATTTAATATGATGAGAATTTAATTATTTCATAAGAAATGTGTTGTGATATTTTGTTTGATGATGAACTTCAAGGGAAAAAAATGCTTAGGTTTTATGTGAAGAAGATTTGACGAGAAATATGTACCCTCCTGCTGTTTTATTTAGTAAAGTGGCTAGCTAGAAGCAGGTGGCAGCTCTGAATTTTAAAGTTTATAATTTTAAAATTTAAAAAAACTTTAAAAATTTATATTTCATACCAGTCTGATTTCTCTTTGACATCACCAATATGTTAGGACATAGATGAATAAATTGTTCTGTTTAATTTAAAAAAACCCTTAGTTTATAAATTTGACTTTAATATTAACTAAAATGGAGCTTTTGGACCTTTATGTGAATTAGCAGCAAAACTGGTTCTGGCACTGGCGATGACTAATGCCGTGCTTCAAATACCCCTTCTTCAAATCTATCAGTGATGGAGATTGGGAAGTAACATTTAATAGGGAGGAAGAGGAAAAAAAGTCAATGTTTCTTTGCCTATTTTCATTGTATTATAAACTCAAGACTCAAAATCCAGAGCTATTGAGTTTGCTTCTTCCTTTTTACCTACTTTTGTGAAATGTGTGTAGCAAAAGATAGAGTATACATCAAGATACCATGACTGCTACATGGTACTTACAGCAAAATGTTCAGTAAAGCCAGATTCTGGGACCTGGCAAGGTAGAACTGTATCCTCTAAAGCTGTGATGATGGTGGGTATAAAATGTGACAGGGACAAACCATGCAGTGATGCTTCTCTGCTGGTGAATTTACAGTACCTTGGAGGACATTTTACATGTGATTTTGTTTAGTTAATAGTATTCTGAGTAATGTATGGAGCTATGTAAATTGTTGATTCCAAATTATGACGGGGACGTTAAGAATAGTGCTTGGTGTATTTTTTCAACCCTTTTGCATTTTTACATCCATGACTGTATTTGCTTTCACACCTCCCTGTGAGATAAATAGACCAGTCAGGGGTGATTCTATTTATAGATGAAGAAAACTGAGATGCTGGCCATTAAGCGATTTGCTGAGTGGCCTGACCACATTACTCACAACCCTGAGACTAAGACCCAGAACTCTTAACTTCTAGGCCAACGCTTTCCCCCATATCCCATTGAGTAGTGCTAAGTTTATGAAGGGAATTGCGGGAAAGCCTACTTTCACCCTGAATTAACTTTATATCTCAAAGAATGATATTTTAGTACACCAAAGGGGATTAGTATGGATGCCAACCAAGTTTTTTAAATGGCTGGTGAGCAATGCTCCCTAAGAGAAAAATCTTATGTATATACACAAGAGGATGCACATAAAGATATTGAGTACTGCTTTGTTTCTAATAGCAAAAACTTTGAATCAGCCTAAATGTTGATCAACATAGGACTGGATAAATTGGTATATGTTTATATCATATAATATTACCCAGTGATTAAAGGTGACTGAAATAATAAATAAACACCCACAGATATTTTTTAAAAATCATAACATTGAACAGAAAAAAAGCAAGTTTGCAGAATGAAGCTAACAGTATATCATTTTTATAATTAAACATACACAATCTGTATATTGTTCAGGGTACATATATGTGTATGACCAATATTTAACAACAGACTGGAGGGATACCCACCAAATAGTGGTCATTCAGGAAAAAGGAGTGGGGTGGAACATAGGTCACAAAGGGATTTCAAATAAACAAGATAAAATGTAAACATTTACCAGTTCATTGGTATTTGCTATATTGTTCTCTGAAGTTTTCTGTAGTTTAAAAAATTTCTCAAGAAGTTGGAGGTAGGTGGTGCTAGTGCAGATAGCACAGAGAGACCTCAAGGGAAGTACCCGGTGAGAACTATAAGCCTGACACTGAACAGAAAAATGTGAGAAAGTAGTGTGGTGGGCATTTAAGAAAAGCAGATCTAAGTATTAGATGGACCCATTTGCTAATACTGCCCACTATGGTAGAAGGAAGGCTTGAGCTCTGGAGCTCACCTTACTCCTGGTATTCCTACAGTGACAGAGAGTGAGCTTGGGGACCTGGAATGGACTTGTTCCTCCTGTCCCTTTCTCTGAAGTCTCCAAACATGTCACGTGATAAGACTGTCAATGAGTCATTCTCATTGCCTACCTTCTGCTACATTACTTTCTGTCTTGGTGCTAATATTCTCTGGATAAACTTCTAGGCATGAAAGGATGCATACCAGAAGACCCTATCGTGTGGAAGATGCTGAAAAATACTGCCTTGAGGATGATTTGGTTAATCTAGAGGTTCTGGATGAGGTACTAAATATTTAATAGACAGTTCTCACCGATGACATTTGTTTCACTTGAATGGTCTGACCTTTCTGTTGTGACAATATTCTCCTAAGGTCACTTGAAAATTTAATTATTTATATATCCTTGGGGTTGAAACTCAAGGAGCATTTGGTTGCTTTGACTATGATCCTGTGTTATATTCAATTATAGTCCCCAAAATACCCTAAATAATGATGAGAAAAGGATTTGGATTTTTCTAATAAAGCTCTTTATATTGTAGGCTTAAATGATGTTTTATATCAGCTGAAATTATTTTCGGTTTTTAAAAAAGTGCATCTTAACCTTAAATTCAGGTAGTTGTTGTTCTTCATAAAAAGGAGCTTCCTTTAGGGAAATAGTAAAGTTAATACAGCTTGAATCCTAAATTTGAAAACTGTGATAATCCCCATTTACAATATGCATATTTAATAGAGCTGTTAATTGCACTGGACCTGCTTCTACAAATTCTAACTCTGGGGACCCTTAAAGACAATGCATGAATCACTAAAGTGCAATATAAAAGTGTTCAATTCTATATTCTCACCACATAAATTTTAAATGCAATGCTTTGAGAAATGAAGTTACTATTTTGTGTGTACTTTATCAATAGAAACGGCTTATTAAATCAAATTCTAAATAGAACATTTTGATTGGGTGAGACAAGTTTTTCACAATAACAAACAAAATATTTGTTGGATATCTCAGTGTCTTTTAGCAAGTCCTAAGTGGGTCTAATTCTTTTAGCATATTCCAATTTTTTTTGTTCTTTCAAGGTGAATATCTGCATTTAGGATCATTAGGGTCATTGTATGATTTAAATTGACTACTTTCATCTTTTAGAGAAAAATATTCTTATAAGAATAAATTTGTTATTTTTAGAATCTCTCTCTTGACTGAAATAATGTTTACTCTCAATATCATTTATCCTCTTCTTAGGATACAATTATTCATCAGTTGCAGAAGCGTTATGTGGACTTGCTGATTTACACATATGTTGGAGACATCTTAATTGCGTTAAACCCCTTCCAGAATCTAAGCATATACTCACCACAGGTAAGGAATGCTTCAAGAGCATCTTGCTCCTGAATAGGAAATTAAAAATCACAAGGGAAAATGAAAAGAAGGAAAAAGTGAGAATAAAGTTATGCCATCCCACAGGTATGTACCCTGAACTGCAGATAATCAACACAGATGGTATTCTTACATTTTGGGGGTAAATTTTTAAAGCAAGATGTAACAATAATAGCTAACATTCATTTAGTGCTTACTACCTGCCAGGCACTGGGTTACCTCGCTTACTCTCACAACCTGTGAGACAAGTACTATTATTAAGCCTATTTGACAGACGAGGAGACTCAGCGTGATGAAGTTAATTCCCTTGCACAAGCTCACGAAGCCAGTAGCTGAAGAACAGGGATTTGACTTCAGGCCTGTAGACTCTACAGCCTTCCTGATGCCACAGTTCCCCTAATAAGTGACAAATCCTTGGTTTCGTGGGCAATAGGTCCTGGAGAATTAGAAGGTCCAGTGGAGCATTAGAAGGATCCTTTAAATTATTTTTGTCTTCAGTTTTCCAGACTTTATCATGGGGTGAAACGTGTCTCAAATCCTCCCCACATATTTGCATCAGCAGATGCTGCTTATCAATGCATGGTTACTTTCAGCAAAGACCAGGTAAGAACGCACCTTCCTTTCCTACCAAGTCGCATAGTAGGGTGTGTTCTGTCTGCCTCTGCAGCTGTTAAGTCTTCCTGAAAACTTTCCATTCTGGTTGCTGGTGCTGACTCAAGGAAATAAGAAATGAAATAGTAACTCAGTGGGACGGGAACAGTAATAAAGGCAGAGTAGCAGGAGAACATGAAAACCCTTTTCAAAAAACATGAAACATTCACATCAAGAGCACTCATTTTCTCTGATAAAATGTAATAAGGATATTTCTAATAAGAATATGAGTGCATAGAGCTAACACAAACCTGATTATGTGACAATTATTGCAATAAAAACAGGATATAGAATGACATAAATGAAATTCCTTCCTATTAAGATCTCAGAATCTGTTCTTTTTGTATGAAATACTGCACACCATTTAGCTCCTGAGAAATTGTCATGATTTGGGTAAAGACTGAACAAATCTTAAACTCAATGCTGGTTAAACACAAAGCTCACCCATATGCTTTAACTTTCTGGACCTCCGATTCACAGTGGTGGTGTATCCAACTTTTGACCCTTCCTTGACTTCGAAAATGTATATTTTTCTTTGTGTGTTTCTTCTGTTTGAATTAGAAGTAACCTGATTTGTGAGAAAATTTTATGAGAGAATCACTATGTGTATATTTCCTGAGACCTGTAAAGTCCCAGCTTTGGGTTTGTCGAGGAATAGGTGAAATTATAACAGTGCAAGTTACAAAGTGGAGTACATGGATTCACTATAGGTTAGAACTTGACTTCTCCAAATTCTTATCTTTCCCAGAAACTTGTGAAATATCCATAGATTTCGTAGAGAGGAAGTAAATGGAGAGAGATATATGTGTTTGTCAAGTTAAGAAGTTGCCCCACTGTGTTCTCTTTTTTCTGATACCATTTCTGACACCAAATATTGTGTCTTTTGCAATGACAACCAATTCTCCAACACCAACTGGATGACCAACAATTCATTTCCATTCATTTCTGACACTAAATTTCTGGAGTTAGTGCAGACCTCACAGGTTCAGGGCTCAGTCTCATAAGACTGCCCCCACTTCAGACATCAGCTACAAATGGGGTGCCCAGGCTACCCACACTGATGCCTTGCCAATTACAAATTCAAGGAGTCCCGCAACCCCTCTCAGGTTTGACAATTTACTAGAATGACTCGTAGAACTCGGGAAAACACTTTATTTAATGGTTTATTATAAAGGATAGAACTCAGGAACAGCCAAATGGAAGAGATCATAGGGCAAGATATGGGGGGAGGGGTGCTGCAAAGCTTCTGTGCCTTCTCTGGACATACCCCACTCCAAGCACCTCAATTCATACCAGAAGCTCTCTGAATCTTGTTGTTCAAGAGCGTTTATGACTCAGTCAATCTCTAGCTCCTTTCTCTTCCCCAGAAGTTGGGATAGTGGGGCTGAAAGTTCCCACCTTGTATTCATGTGTTTGATCTTTCTGGTGACCAACCCCCATCCTGAAGCTATCTTGGGTCACACGTTGAACCACATGGTTAGCAGTTAGGTTTGGTTGAAAGGGACTTGTTTGTGTAACAAAAGATGCTCCTATCACTCATATCATTCAGAAAATTGCAAGGGTTTTAGGAGCTCTGTGCCAGGAACCCAAGACAAAGACCAAATATATATTTTTTATTATACTGCACCCATTATTTTCCTCTTATACATAAAGAGCTCCTGGAAATAAATGACGAAAAGACCAACAATACAAAAAATAGGCAAAGGATATGGACTGGTCACAAAAAAAATACATGAATGACCTTAAACATATGAAAAGATGCCCAACCTCACTTATGATAAAAGAAATGCAAATTAAAACTATACTGAGATACCATGTTTTGCCTGTCAGATTGGCAAAAATCCAACATACCCTGTTTGGTAAGGCTGTAGGAGAACAGGCACTTTCATATATTGGTACAGTCCTTAGGAAAGCAGTTTGGTATTACCTATCAAATTTACAAATGTATTTACCTTTTGATCCAAAAACTCCATTTCTAGGAATTTATTCTACAGATGAACCTACATATAAATATAATGATATATATAGGGTTATTCATTGCAATATTGTTTGTAATATCAAAAGGAAAAAACTCCAGTATCCATCAGTATGGGACTGGTTACATAGATTATGGTACATTTATACGGTGGAACAACGTGCAGCTGTGAAAAGGTTGAAGAAGCTCTCAATGTACTGAAATGGAAAGATTCCTAAGATATGTTGCTCAGTGAAAAATTAAGGTGTACCGTGGTGGATGTTATATGAAAAACATAGCTGAATATGCAGGGTTTACCATGCTATGAATTCTTCACCGACACTCCATTTTCTCTGTCAGTGCATTGTCATCAGCGGAGAAAGTGGCTCTGGGAAGACAGAAAGCGCCCACCTGATTGTTCAGCATTTGACTTTCTTGGGAAAGGTATTGGCTACCTGCTTTATGTCTTGTGGCTAGAAGTCCCTGCGGAGTAACTGCATGTTTTATAAGTGGTGGAAATACTAGTTTTTATTAGGGGTTACCTAAAAACACTCCATCTTTATTATGTTTGCCTCCTGATAGCTAGACCTCTTAAGATGTCAGCATGCCATCCTTCTTTCACCTAGTGAGGAAAATAATGCCGGCACGAATTCACTAGATAATCAGCAACTAATTTTTCATGTTTTCAATGTAATAGAAACATTTAGCCATTAAGCAGTAAAAGTGGTTAAACATTAGGAACAGGATCAGGGAGAGCCACTAAAATGATTAAGGGATTGAAAATAGAAATCTTTGAGCAAAAGTTGAGGGAAATGGAAATTTTCAGTTTGGTGAAATGGGCGTTGGAGGAATTAAAAACTGGTCTAGCAGTTACTTATACTGAGAATAAGTATATTATGTGACTAAGAAAGAAATTAAGGAATATTTTTTTACAGGTGAGGTTTATTGAATATTATAATGGATGACTGAGAAAAGTTATGGGATTTCTGTATTGAAAATTCTTTCTAAACTCTTTAGGCATTTTATCTGTCAAAGATTTTAAGTGAAGTGTGTCTGGAGGTAAAAATGATAACATAATCTAGCCTCATCTGATGCCTATGCACCTGGGGAGCTGCTCATCTGAGAAAACAATGCTGGCGGTTGATGCTAATTTCCTCAAATGGAGGCCTTCCCAAAAGGATAATGTGAATTTTGTGCATAGGGAAGGGTATGGGGCATCTCTGCTGGAGTAATGCTCCTGGAGACTCCTCTTGACTGTTCTCTGTTTGGCACAGGCCAATAATCAGACCTTGAGAGAGAAAATTCTGCAAGTCAACTCCCTGGTGGAAGCCTTTGGAAATGCATGCACTGCCATCAATGACAACTCCAGCCGTTTTGGAAAATATCTGGAAATGATGTTTACACCAACTGGAGCCGTGATGGGGGCAAGAATCTCTGAATATCTCCTTGAAAAATCCAGAGTTATAAAACAGGCAGAGTAGGTGCACTATTTAACACTTTGGTTTTGCTCTGCAACATAGACAGTGGGGCTTTGGGAATTTTAATGGCTCCATTTTCACCCTTGTCCTTAGCATCTCTGCCCACCCCTCCGCCCAGCCTCCCTAAGAGCAAGAAATTATTTAAGCAAAGGATAAGTGGTGTTCTAACCTAAAAGATGTTTACAGGCAGAGGACAAAGGGCTGGGGTGGGAGTACTTTGGCATAGATATGCCTATTTCTCCTGAGTCAGTTATACCAGGTAGAATTTAACAACATTGTAGATACTTTTAAGAATCATTAAATCCCTTAAAATTGAATTTGTCTATTTAGAAAAAAAGGCACTGAGAATATTCCACATGTTTTTCCCTAGATTGAGAGAGGAAAAAAATATTTTGTTCTAAGAAGAGCAGTTTAGCAATAGTGATCAATAGCATGGACTGCTCTGGGTTCAAATGCTGACTCTGACATTTCCTATGTGACCTTGGATATATCACTTAACTTTTCTGGGCCTCATCTGTGAAATGGAGATGCTACTAGGGCCTACCTTATGCGTTTGCTGTGAAGATTAATGAGCTCATTTATATAAAATTACTTTAGAAAGTGCCTGGAATGGAACATGTTATCAGAGGGTTAGCCACTCTTCCTATTGTTATTATTATTATTAGAGGACATCAGACTTCCTCAGGAGTGTGGATCCATCCATGCATTATTCAGTAATTATCTGTTGAATGCTGTATGCTAGTGCTGTGCTCTCTGCTGGGGTTGCAAGAGTAAACAAAATAGACAAGTCTCAGTACTCACAGAGCTTGGTATGAGTGGTAGATTGGGGTGGGGGCTGGATCACAGGCATTAAACAAATAAATAAACTCAAAGGCAGAACCATTGTGATAAGTACCAGGAAGCAATGTAAGGTGCTATGAAGGTGTAAAACAGGAGAAGGAAGGGCACATAACCTAGTCTGGAAGAGAGGGGCTCCCTGTGTACGAGACATCTACACTGAGATCCAAGGATCAATAGGAGTTAGCCAATGAGGTGGGGACAGGATGGGGAGGTAGAGAAGGGCAAAGATGAGGCTGAGACCAGATCATGTAGGGCTTTGGAACCAAGCTAAGGATTTTGAACCTCATTCTAAAGGCAATAGGAAGCCATTTAACATTTTCAAGAGGGGACGTCACAAAACCCAACTTGCATTGTGAAATAATTACTCTGGCTTGGAGACACAAGAAGTATCATGTTGAGGCCATTAGGAAGCTATTGCCAAATCCACGTGAGAGAGAATGTTGGCCTGGGCTGAGGTGGTAGGAGTGGAGATGGAGGTGGAGAGGAGTTAATGAATCTGAGAGATCCTAATGCAAGCGGAATCCACAGGACTTGCTTTGGGTTAAGAACTCAAGCGTCGTCTTCTATCATACGCTTGCAGTTTCCTCACAAAATAGGGACTGACATGAAAATTAAACAAATGAACAAAAGGATAGAATGAGAGTCATTTTGGCTTCCCTGTGGCTTCCTGATTAATTTTGATGAGGTCCTCCTCCTCTTTCTCCCTAAATTAGGGTGGTTTTAAAGTTTAGGGAGCTACCTCTGACAGAATGGAAACTATAGTCTTCTGTGTTCAGATGTCAAGTGGTTTTTTTACAGAGATAATGTGAGGAGAGTTCCAATCATAGCTATGTCACTTATTGTGGTTGCCTATTAATTGATATAAATATCCTTTTACCTTACTTTCCTCATATGCAAAAAGTACATAATAAAGCCAACCTCGGAGGGCTGTTGTGAGAATTAAATGAGATGGTATGTGATTTATACCAAATATTGAATCTGAAACTTAATAGACACCTAATAAACCATAACTTACTATTAAATTTATTCAATATGATACCACTGATGGGGAAAAATAGACTGAAGACATTGGATGAGGAGAAGATGAAAGTCCTGTTCATCTAACCTTTCTGGTTCTGCCCTCTTCTGGGTGCATAGTAGGATTCCCCTTCTTGTTACACTGTGGCTGGATGTGGTCATATGAACAGTTCTGGCAAATAACCATTTAATGGAAAGACCCTTCAGAACTCTGGCAAAGTGCAAGATGGTTGCTGCTCCATCAGCCTGGGCCCATGAGTGACTGTGGTGAGCACAGCCCACCCTGCTGACCCTCAGTGGGCATGTACTCTGAGCAAGAAGTAAGCCTATGTTGAGTTAAGCCACTAAAATCTTGGGATGTTTCTTACTGCAACAGAACCTCGCCAATCCTGATAAATACAGGAATGAAAATCAAATTGAATTTATGCTAGGAATGGATGTTGGTAGGCAAAGCTTGGAAGAATTGAGAACTAGAGGTATCTGCAAAAAAAACTACAGAAAGGCAAGACTAAGATGAGTCAGCCAAAGCCTACACATTTACCAGAAGTTAAAGAACAAGTGACATTCATACCAGGCATACTAGTTCATAAAGTTCAATAAGGACTGCGTGAGTGGTGCCACCATCACCAGATGCTCAAGTTAGAAACCTGGGAGGCAGACTCCACGTCCCCTTCCCTCACCACCCTCATTCATTCTATCAGGACATTGTTTTGATTGTTTCTCCAAAATATATCTTTAAGCTTACTCTTGTTCACCATCATCACTTCCATTACCGTGACTAAGTCACTTGCTCTCTCACCTAGACCTCCTAAGTGGTCTCCCTGCATCCATCTTAGCTTCTTAAAATCTTGTCACATACTTACAATGAACCCTGACTCCGGTTTAAAACAGTTTGAAGAATTCTAATTGTATAAGCAACAAAGTCTTCCTTATGACCTGATAAGGCTGTGTGTGGCCTGTGCCTGCCTGCCTACCCACCTGCTTCTCACTAGCATTTTTTTGGTCCTATGTGAGTATCGTGCTCAGAGCCTATGTGTATATGCTGTTCCCTCTGTTTCCCCTTCTCTCTGTTGCTCCTTCCAGCCCCTTCTCATTCTTCAGAGTTTGACTTAAGTGTTATTTCCTTAGAGAGTCCTTCCCCTAACTTGACACAAGTAGCCCTCATCCCTAACGTTACCCTTCATCTCCGCCCCTTATTTGTTTCTTTCAAAGTCTTCATCACAAGTTTCCTTGTTGATTCATCTAACTCCATCAGTAGAAGGGAAGCTCCAGAGGGCATGAATCCTCTGATTCCTATATCCCTGGCACCTGGTACAGTCCCTGCCATGATTGGCACTCAATAAATTTATTAGTTGAGTAAAAAATGAGTGAGAAATGGCAAGTAGAGGCATCTAAAATACAAGGCAGTAATAAGAATGCACTAGGAGAGCTTTGACAGGATTAACTACCAGAAGAAGGCTAGGATATCCAGGAGAAGCTGAAGAAAAGAGTGGGGCCCATGTCACAGGTAGGGACAAGGAGTAGAAGGAAGACGAGATTTCTTTCCACAGAGCTAAGTTAGCCAAGGTGAAGATTTGCCACAATCCTGGGGCATCAACAGAAGAGACTGTCTTCCTCCAGAGGAAAGAAAGGAATCCAGAGCAGGGCTTTCCAGACTATCTTTGCTGAAAGACCAATTTTCAAAATTATAATTGAAATGAATTATCAGAAAAGTTATCATGGCAATGTCACTTGCTATAAAATGTCTAGACATGTACTTTCCAGTTCCTTATCTCGTCATAAGCTGACAGTCGTCCATAGACCACATGTAGAGTTGCACCTATTTGAAAGAACCCTGGCTGGGGTGGCCTAAAAGAGGGTGGACAGCAAGAGACCAGGTGGATTGACGCATGCCATTTTGAATTGTGTGTTTTTTTTTTATTGAGTTAATGACAGTTTACAATCTTGTGAAATTTCAGTTGTACATTAATGTTTGTCAGTCATGTTGTAGGTGCACCACTTCACCCTTTGTGCCCACCCCCCACCCCACCTTTCCCCTGGTAGCCACTAATCTGTTCTCTTTGTCCACATTTTCAAATTCCTCATATGAGTGAAGTCATACACAGATTATCCTTCTCTAACTGGCTTATTTCACTTAACATAATTCCCTCAAGGTCCATCCATGTTGTTGCAAATGGGATGATTTTGTTCTGTTTTGCAGCTGAGTAGTATTGCATTGTATATATATACCACAAATTCTTTATCCATTCATCTGTTGATGGGCACTTAGGTTGCTTCCATGTCTTGGCTGCTGTAAATAATGCTGCAATGAACATTGGGGTGCATAGGACTTTTGGAATTGCTGACTTCAAGCTCTTTGGATAGATACCCAGTAGTGGAATAGCTGGGTCGTATGATAGTTCTATTTTTAATTTTTTGAGGAATCTCCATACTGTTTTCCATAGTGGCTGCACTAGTTTGCATTCCCACCAGCAGTGTATGAGGGTTCCATTCTTTCCACAACGTCTCCAACATTTGTTACTATTAGATTTAGATATTTTTGTCATTCTGATGGATGTAAGGTGATATCTTAGTGTAGTTTGGATTTGCATTTCCGTGATGATCAGCGCTGATGAGCATCTTTTCATGTGTCTATTGGCCATCCATATATCTTCTTTGGAGAAATGTCTGTTCATGTCTCCAGCCCATTTTTTGATCAGGTTGTTTGATTTTTTGTTGTTGAGTTGCGAGAGTTCTTTATATATTATGGATATTAAGCCTTTGTCAGATATATGACTTGCAAATATTTTTTCCCAGTTAGTGGGTTGTTTTTTTGTTTCAATCCTGTTTTCATTTGCCTTGAAGAAGCTCTTTAATCTGATGAAGTCCCATTTGTTTATTCTTTCTATTGTTTCCCTTCTCTGAGAAGGCATGGTGTCCGAAAAGATCCTTTTAATACTGATGTCAAAGAGTGCACTGCCTACGTTTTCTTCCAGAAGCCTTATGGTTTCAGGTCTCACCTTTAGGTCTTTGATCCATTTTGAGTTTATTTTGGTGAATGGTGGAAAAGAATGGTCGATTTTCATATCTTTTACATGTGGCTTTCCAGTTTTCCCAGCACCATTTGTTGAAAAGACTTTCTTTTCTCCATTGTATGCTCTCA